TTACTCTTAAGGTCATTTGAAGATCTGTTCCTCAGGGGTCACATGGTCTTGGGAGGAGCCCCTGGCTCCTTTCTTTTACCAGTTCTGCCTATGTGAAGATAAGTCAAAGGTCCAGCTCAACCATGGTTAGCTTTGCTTGGAAGCATGGAGGAATGATTCCTCTGTGTTGACCCTCCTCTTTATAGACTGGACACTGGTTCAAGTCCATCTGGTGGGGTCTCCTCGGCCTCCTTGAGCAAGAGGACAGGTGACCCACCACCATTATAGGACATTTTGAGAGATGCTCATAGTCCCTTGGAACTAGTCGACCTAGGAGAGCAAGGAGCAAAAACTGTCCTTTATGTCCCTCTGACCAAATTATTATAGGCCTTAAAGATTGTCTGTTAAACATCCAAGAAGGTTAGTTCCTTTGGTCTGGTACTTTTAATTACTGTGTGCCATGTAGATAAAGCTTGGGCAAAGACTAATTGTTCTCAGATAAACCTTGCCTAGACATATATTTCTTGATCTAGTATGTATAATTTGTCAGTAGGTTGTAGGAATAATATGGTTCCCTCTGGTTTTTAAAACTAGCTAGGCATTATTTATTTCTCGCACTGTCTAACCCTTCCATCATGGTTTCCCCAATTAAGGTGCCCCCATTTTTCCCATTTCTTCCTTAAACTGTTTCAGATACATAGTATCTGAAAAATCATGAAAATATATCTGCAAAGGTCAAAGACAGAAATCAGGCAAATCCTTAACCCTTTTGGTTTTGGTAAATAAAATGTCAATGCTAAACAGAAATAAAAACCAACACAGGACCAGACGTGGTGGCGCAGGTCTTTAATTCCAACATGGGAGGCAGAGGCAGGTGGATCTCCGAGAGATCAAAGCCAGCCTGATCTACATAGCAAGCTCATTGCCAGCTGGGGCTACAGAGAGACCCTGTGTCAAAAAGACCAAAAACAAACAAACAAAACAACAACAACAACAAAAATCCAACACAGGCTGATAATCTTGGTTTGCTGTATGAGCTCAACAAAAGGCAGTGTATATTGATTTTTCAAAGGAAAAGTTATTGATCAAAGAATGACATTCCATCCCATTCATTTTAAATTTACATCATTCAGTTAATATAAGTGAAAGAGATATAGGACCAGGTGTAGGTAAAGTAGTCCCTGAACCTTGAACTTCATTCATGGGCCAAAGCACACTGTGAGCACTGAGCAGGCATCAGAAGAATGCTCATCAACAGACATTAAAAAATTTTTGATCAGCTAAATGTGGACAGAATTCAGGACATTTCAAAGCTGATAGCAAACATCATGTGCTATGAAGAAGTAAAAGTTCAAAACAAAATGTTCTCTAGGTGGTTATCTCCAACATAGTGGCTCCAAAATAAATAAATAGCTGCATTTTGAGGGAAATTAACAAAGTGGTACTGAAGCTTTTTATATTGGTTTTCTGCAAATCGAGAAAATTTAGGTTCTTTGTCCAACTACAGAAAAATGACACCATGGTAGGTAAAAGACAGATGACAAAAGTTGAAAAAAATAGTACACCAGGGGTGACAGGAAGAGGCCAGGCCTCCAGAGTCTCTTTCCACTTACTCCTGCTAAGAACAGTATTCTTTAGGTAGCAGTGGCCTGGATAACAGAACAAACATTGAAAAGCTGTGAAAGAAATCTACAACCATGGTTCATTCTGTGACTCCTTGTTGAATACAAGTATAAGCACTGTTTTAAATTTAGCCTACCCAACACACGATCAAAGTGTTTTTAATCTTATGCAAAAATTAATTGTACTCAGGGGAACAAGGCCTCCCATGCTAAATGCTGTACTTTGTTATGGAGGTGAATAGGCAGGTCATAGACTGTAAAACACTAAAATATTTACCGGAGAAAGGAATGGTTGTAAATATCAATGGTATAAGGAGATTTTTGGAAATAACATAAACAAATACAAATAGTTATAAATGCCAGTGGAGATTTTTGGAAATAACATAAACAAATACAAATAGTTATAAATGCCAGTGGAGCTGAAGAATCAGAGTTTGCTAAGGTGAAATTGTAATATATTAAGGTGAAAAAAAAAGTCATAGACTCAATTAATAAGGATTAGCAAATACCTGTGCTAGAAATATTCAGGAAACATTATATTTAACTATTAATTCAGAGTTCAAAAAAGAGGGAGAAAATGGGATGAGTAATCATGTCTCTCTCCATCTCTCTTTAATTCTTTCCCACAGGTTGGAACTAAGCTCTGCTTGGGAAAGTGGTTATATTAAGGCCCTGTGTGCAACACGCAACAAAATCACCTCCACAAGCATAAAAGAACCTCCTGTTGAGATCATAAGGATTTGTGCCATATTATCCATGCACCTTATAAAAAACATTTTAAAGTGAAAATCAACAGGTACTCAATGTGAAACATATTTTATAAAAAGTGGTAATTTCTCTGCAGTGGAATCAAGAAAGTCTGATTTGTGAGACCCTAAATGTTTTTATAGGAATTAAATTTCATTTTTCGTCCAAGTATATCTAAGTTTTATCATTAAGAAGTGTGGGCCTTTTTGATTGACAATGTCCATACATCAACAATGCACACTGGTAGGAGGGTTTTACACTTACCGTCATTCATCATTCCTTTCGATTCTTTAAATGCTAAGGATTAGTAACAAGCCAAGAAGACAGTTAGTAAGATTCTACAGTTAGAAATTATCTCAAAATAAATAAGCAGCAACACAAAGCTAACTACTCCACAACTAGATAGCCAGATTCATTAGAGGCTATCGTTCATTGCAAAGCATTTCTATGGCTGAAACCCACAGCATCCACAATGCAAACAGACTTAGTGGGGAATATAGATCAAGATCTACAAAGAAAGTGAAACATTCTGGTCTCACTCCACGGTGGCAGCCTGTATTTTTCTGAAATTGTCAAATCAGAAATTGGAAGTCATTGAGATTCTGACCTACTGAGGGTACGTATCACCTTGGGTCAGTACAAAAGGTCAATGGTCCCCTTGCCCAAATGTCACTTGGCCAGTGAAAGCAACTACGGCAGGCATAGGACAGTGAGAATATTGCAAAAGCAGTACTACCAATTTTTGATGAATGATCAAGAAAAGAGAGGCCAAGGCGTGAGAAAAAACAAATAACAAAAAAAAATACCCCAAACTAAGATAGAAGGGCATTCAGTTCAAATTATGATCTAGTAATGGACCAAGACTAATATATAAGTTTATAATAAGCACATACCATTAAGGGGTTCCTCTACAGCTTTCTGGAAAATAGTTAAAATATGTTTACATAAAATTTAATTTACTACATGTCTTTCATACTAGCATATAGTAATATTAACATATATTGTAAGCAATGAATCCTATAGTCTAAAAACAAAACAGCGAAGGCTTAATGAAACAAAGCTTCCCAAGTCTAATTAATAGTTTAATAATAACTGTATTATTCTCTTAGTATTTTTTTCTGTGCAGAATTTCCCACTCCACCCACCTCTCTCAGTTGGAAAAAAAAACTTCTCATAAAAATATTAATGTGCAAACATGCAAATAGCAACAACAGATATAGAAGCAGTTAAGAGATGGAAGCCAGGCAGAATCATCTTCACAGCATGCAAACTGAACTCAGTAACAAGGAAAGAAAACTGTTAGGCTTTGACCCTCTAACTGCTGAGTTATCTCTAAGAGGCATTAGGAAAACTGCTGGATGTTTGTGATTAAGGTAGCTATGGCACCAGTCTCCTCAAAATAAAAAGCTGTGGTAAATGAACACACCCTGCCCCACTCTATCTTTTAGGTGTGTCCTTGAAGGCTGCCAGACTTATCTGTCACTTATCATATACAGGAAGCTGAATACAATACAGTCTCATATTTAGATCTTATTTCCATAAGGAATACTTAGGCATGTCACCATGATAAGTCTATAAAGTGATTTTTTTCTCATCTATCACCTCCTAAATTTGCTCTTTTTCTTAGAATTTTCCCAGAGAGCTTTTGATGGTATCCCAAATACAGTGGAACCTACAGGACACCTTTGAGAGAAAAATGTTCATAAAAAGGGGAGCCATTATTTGGAACAGGTTTTTATTCAACAACATCTGTCTTGTAGACTATCATTTTAAAAGAAATCAATTTATCAAAAATTTTTCTTTCATATTGTCAAATCTGAAATTGTCATTCAATGTATTCACATCAACCAAACCCAACAGGTGAGGAAACACTGTAATCAGCTTCCTTCTGATAGAAGAATCATATTCTTAGACATAAACTTTCAAATTCTGGGACTATTAAGTGAGAACAATCTTAAGGGGTCACATTTTACCCACTGATACTTAAATCACCCAACATCAGTTTTAGAGTAAGAATCAGACCCATTCATGTAAAGGTCATGAAATGACTTCCACACTGTCTTAATTGATGTCACATTAAGCAGAGAGCAAAATAGCTCAATATTCCAATTACCAGTCTTCACTCTAATTCATCAAGCAATCATTCCCCAAATTCATTTAATAAATCTGAACTTACCCTAGGAGGTTGTATAGTCCTCTGATTGGAAGCTGATATAAACAAAAATAAGAATACAAATTCAATAATGAAATCAATTTAAGCAATGTAATATTTAATTTTAAGATAAAATGTTCAGAGCTAAAACTAGAGGGTACCAAAGACTCCAAGAAAGGAGTTCCTGCTTTAATAGTCTATTCAAAAAATACAGAATATTCTTGATAAGGAAGTAAATAAGACACCTATAACAGATAATACACATTCTCTCATGGGCACACTGTCTGTCCCCACAATCAATTACTTGCAAAAATGCTGTCAACCCATTTCTCCCTATTTTTCAGCTGGGATGTGGACAGAACATGGCAGTGAATGACCTCCCCTCTACAGCATCTCCTTCATCTCACTGTTCTTGTGCCTAGTTCCACAACCTTTTGTTCTTTTTTTTCATCGTTCCAGTGTTTGAAGCTCCAGACAGCTATGAAACTAAAAGAAAACATTCAGATCTCTCTGAGTCTAAAGAGCTATCCGAAGCAGTCGCTTTCAGACCAACCAGTGCCTTCTATGTATATTCCTCCTCAGTTACTCCGAGTTACTCCATTCACTGCTTCTGAACAGATTAACTAACGAAGATGCAGGAACAGAGGGCATGAACTAAATGACAAGAGGGAAAAGAACTACTTTGGATTGGTAGGAAAGATAGCATCCTTATAAAATCTGGTGAGGAAGCCCCAGAAAAATCAAAACCAATTCTTAACACACAATCAGTGTCCGTAATGAAAACAGGACCAACAACATCCTTTGACTAATTCAATGTTCTTTTCCTAGGCATTATTTCCTACCCCACCTGTGTTGCATAGCCTCAGTTGTCGGCTGGACATACCTGGGAAGAGGGAACCTCAACTGGGGAATTTCTTCTACTAGATTGGCTTTGTGGGCATGGCTGTGAGGCATTTCCCTGATTGTTGAATGATTTGGGAGGGCTCAGCCCACTGTGGGTGGTGCCACCTCTGGACAGGTATGTCTGTTGTATAAGAAAGCAGGCTAAGCATGGGCCAGAGAAGCAAGTCAGCAAGCAGTGTTCCTCCACAGTTTGTCCTTCAGATTCCTACCCTGAGCTCCTACCCTGGCTCTCCTGGTGATGAACTATAACCTGCAAGGTAAAATAAATCCTTCTCCCCCAAATTGGCTTTGGTCAGTATTTTTAATCACAGCAACAGAAAGAAACTAGGACAGATGTTGGTACCAGGATCATGGGGTATTGCTGTGACAGACCTGACGTTGTTTTGGGGAGGATTGTGAAAGTATTTAGAACTTTGGGCTGGAAAAGTCACTGAGTGCTCAGAGCTTAGTGAGCTGTTGCTGTGGACCTTGGAATAATTAAGCTGAAGGAGATATGGATGATGGAGGCATGGCTTGTGAGGCTTCAAAGAGAAGTAAAGATTATCAGGGTTATTTACGTGGAATTAAGAATTTTTGCAAGTGAAACCTTTTGTGTTTTACTGGGCTGAAAATCAGCTGTGGGTAACAAGAGACTGACATCATTGAGGTGAAAACTGGGAAGTTATTTCCTCGGTCAGCACACAGAAGCTGCAGTCCAGAGGGCACCTAAGGCTCCATCTTAAGCTGGAAGTACTGGTTTTGAAGGCATAAAGGGGTAATGGTGAGATTCCAAGGCTTGGCATCATGTAAGGCCAGAAGAAGTATTTGGTGAAGGTGCAGCCTCGGTTGCGATGGAAACCCTGGAATACTGGAGATGCCAGGACCATGGCACAACCACCAAGGGCAGCAGCAGGTGGAATGGAACTGGCCTGAGCCTACGAAATAAGCTGTGTGTGCTTTGGACCAGAGCCAGAGAAGTAAAGAGACTTTTTAAGGAGACTTTGAACTTTTAACGTATTTGAAGTTTTAAGGACTGTGGGACTTCTAAAGCCATACTATTTTATACTGTAATATTAATACTGAGATCTTGGGGATAAGAAGTGGAATGGTTGTGGTTTAATGGTGATGTGATTCTATGTCAAGTTTGACAAGAGGTCAACTGTGCTGGATAGCTTTAGCTTTCAACTTGATATACCTGGGAAGAGGGACCCTCAACTAGGGAATTGATCAGCCTGGCCTTGATCTCTCAGAGATGGATCTGCTTGCCTCTACCTTCTGAGTGGTAGGATTATAGGCATGCTCCACCAGGCCTAGTTGAGGCATTTTCTTGAAGAGTAATGTGGGAGGGCTTAGCTCACTGTGGGCAGTGCCAAACCTGGGCAGGTATGCCTGTATTGTATAAGAAAGCAGGCTGAGCATGGGCCAGAGGAGCAAGCCAGTAAGCAGAGTTCCTCTATAGTCTGTACCTCAGTTCCTGTCTCTGGGTTCCTGCCCTGACTTCCCTCAGTGATAACCTATTACCCAGGAGATGTAAGCTAAAATAAACCTTTTCCTCCCTAAGTTAGCTTTGGTCAGTGTTTTTATGACAGCAACAGAAAGAAACTAGAATACTACCCAGGTCTCTCAGTTCAGAAATGCAAAGTTCTCACAAAAATATTACAGTACAAACATTCAGAGAGCAACAACAGAATACATAGCACAATTAAACAAGAGAAGGTAGCAAAACAGAATCATTTCCAAGCCCTGAGAACTGAACTCAGAAACAGGTAAAGAAAACATGTAGGATTTATAAATTCCACTGAAACCTGGACTGGCTGGCAGACAGGCTGGGTTTCCTCATTAGTAGACAGAGATGGGCCCAGGACAGCTCTCCTGGTCTCTGCAAGTTACTTGCTGCCACTCCCTCATGCCTACTCAGCAAGCTTCTAAAGCTGTTGGGAAACAGGGCAGTCAATTCATGGGCTAAGCCTGACAAGGCTCTGTCAAACAGGAAAAGGAGAAACAAAGATGGCTAGATGGTGATGGTCAGGGAAGGTGAAAAGGAAACAAGATGAGCAGGGCAAAGCTAGCTGTGGAGGGGCAGGTAAGAAAAGAGCATGCATGCAAAGAGGGTATATGGAAACATTCCACAGTTAAACAAGGGAGGGGAGCAAAGCAGAAGAATTTTTTTAAGTTATGCAAATTGAACTCAGTAACTGGGATAAAGGAGGGCTCAGCTAAGACATTTATACCACCCCCACTAAGGGTTAGGGAACATTCCAGAAGAGGAGACAGGAAGAATGTAAGAACTAAAAGACAGGAAGATGGGCAATGGAATGCCATATTCTGGGCATGACACATCCATTCAATCATGGAGTCAATGCAACTATACTCACCTATACTGAGCCTCAACGACAGTGGGTCTGTCAAAAGCCAACCAAGGATGGGGGAGAAGCCTAAGAGGTGCTACACCCAGTGAACTAGTGGCCACTGATAGAACAAATTTAATAATAAAAAATTTAAAAGAATGAGAGAGTACTGTAGTGTGGGTATATACCATAAACAATTGAAAAAAATATAAGATGTTTAACTTAAGAGTATTTGGGCACCATATTTTTGCTACTCTCAACCTTGGTCAGAGAAGCATCTTTTTGCAGTAGTCAGTGTTTAATGTAGGCTTGTGATAGGTCAAAGGGCTGGGAACCAGTGATTGTGACTGGTCGGCTGCAGATGGATCATCTACAACAACCTCCCCACCCAAGGCTCAGAGAACACCTCAGAAGAGTAATCAGAAAGAATGTAATGGCTGAGGATGGGGTAGGAGAGCTGTGAAATACTATCTTCTGGGCAGGACATGATGGCCATACACAATGACTCACAGTAGATGGAGTTGCCTATACAAGATGAAGTCAGAGTTCCAGCATGGTTGGGGGGGCGTGTCCCAGGGCCCAACTCTTAGATGAGAGACTACTGACAGCTGATGGCTGCTGAGAAAGGGAGAGCTACTTTTCTTTGGGGATGTGGCTGCTGGCAGGTTGCTTATGCCCCTGTGGAAGGTCTCACATCTATTCCCATATGGTCAGCACTAACTGGACTCGGGAGACTATCAATAACAGTAGTAATAATCAAAGAGGACATGAAGTCTAGAAGGAGATGGATTGGTGGGTCCAATCCTGAGGGAGATAGAGGAAGACAGTATGGAGTGGAAATAAATTTAATTAAAATACATTGTATACATGTAAGAAAATTTCAAAGAATAGATAAGAAGTATTATTTTTAAAAATTTTTACAAGAGGGACTGGAGAGATTGCTCAGTGGTTAAGAGTACTGACTGCTCTTGCAGAGGACCCAGGTTTGGGAACCCATATGCCAGCTAACAACCATCCATAACTTCAGTTCCAAGGGATCCAACTCCCTCTTCTGACCTCTGTGGGCACTGCATGACACAGTGCCCTTACATACATGCAGGCAATACACTCCTATACATAAAAGTCATAAATAAAATATTAAAAAATAAAAATGTTAAAAAGAGGGAAGAAATGGAACACGCCCTAATGGTAATTCCTTGGCTTTTGCTCATAAACACTGCTAAAATGATGCTTGTTTAAAAATGATGATTGAGGATCACTAAATAGCAATGAATCTTTAATACTGCTAATTATTTTTGAGAATAAATACTAAGGAAAACTTCTTTTTCAAAAAATTAGTCACTGCTACACTTTGGAGGAGCTGTCAATTCTCCTCAAGAAGAAATTTGTCAATACAAAAAGGACCACTGAATTAAAAGAAAAAATGAGAAAGTAAACCACACACACACACACACACACACACACACACACACACACAAACTAGATGGTGTGACTCTGACAAAAATATAAATATTTCAGTAGAGAGCCCTCCTAAGTTGCTCTAATTTAATTCATTCACCACTAGCAATGGGTGTATCCTTGGGAAACATCACTGTAAGTCATTAGTTTTGTGTAATGCCCATGTCTTGCCTACTCAAAGTGAAACAAATACCAAATACTGAAAAAAAACACACCAAATAACCAGAGACAAACTGGTGAGCCTGAGATGGCTACAGCCAATGAAACAGAGAAGCCCAGTGACCATGAAGGACAGAAGAACATCATCTAACCCTTACTTCTAAAAGCAATAGGATGATATAAGTGTGAGGCATCCTTCCAATGGCCAACCACACTCTGTGAGGTACAGGTATGTGCCTGCCCTCATGGGCTCCATGTCTCTGTTAGTGCCATGGGTGACTTAAATGAAAGATTCTCATTGTGAAGGCACTTGGGGGGAGGGTTGTTCCTCATATACAAGCATAAAGGCAACCTCTTTTGAACGTGGTAGAGAGTGAAACTTGTTGAGATACATCACATCTAGTAGCCTCCCAAATAAGCCAAGCAAAGTTAGAACCTTGTGATAGACCATCAAGAAGACTGTATATACAACTTACCTCAACAACCATGCCCTATACCTAAGTTTTGTAAAGAAAAAGGAGCTATCTGAATCTGACTGGTAATAGGAAGGGTCAGAGATAACATTTTAGAGCTATATTTGAGCTCATAAATGTGTTTATCACCAGTAATGTTAAAAGTGGTCAAGTAATTCTCCTTTTCACCAACAACAGGAGAGTTGCTGACTTCCAGTTGCTAGGAAATGACACACTGGGCTGGCCTATTCAGAAAAAAGATCTCTGAGGAACAGTGGCTATGAAGGACACTAGTCAGATGTGATACTCTAATATTGTAAAACTAAACTTACAGAAGCTCATTTACTGGAGTTAATTCTGTGGGGACACAGCCAATGTGACAAGGAACAATGATGTCTGGTCTGCTGCAGCCATGTATCATGCACCTTGGCACTGACAGCCATATTTTTTAAACCCCAAACTTTTAGCATTCCACATTAGCTTACTTGCAATCTTGCAATGCTTCTTGGTTTGTCATTCTCTTTCTGAAAAAAAACTGACTATATACTGTAAATATCTTTTCACATTTTCAGAAATAATTTTCAAATGATTTATTTACAGCTTGTAAACAATGGACAAGGAAATATATCTGAACATACACACAACCACACACATACACACAAAACATATGTATGGGTACGTATATGTGTGTTTGTGTATGCATATATATATAATTTCTGCTTCTATATCATTCTAGAATGTCTGAAAAGTGTGGTAGACATGGTTTTGACTGCTACCAGGTTGATTTATATCAGAACAGTTCTACACGCCCTTATACTGAACTGTATGATAATGGCTTTAAAAATAAACAAGTTCTGAGCCTTATAAATAATGATTATAGATATAGTATTCTACACAAACAACAAGCTCAACTTTACTGAATACAGTTAGTTCCTTTTAATCTTTTATATGCACTCATATTAACTTATTATTCCCAGTCACTTTTCTGACTTCATAAAATTAAAATGCTTCTAGTAAGAAAGAAAAAAATTCAATATAGTTAAAGGCAAAAAAAAAGTCTACAGAAAGTGAAAGCCAAAATCCTATTCCTTAAAATTACAATTAAGGCTACAAATTTAAACTCGGAAATAATGATAAATATAAAAGTTAGGATTCTCACAGGAATATTAACTCACTTTAGAGAGAGAGGTTGTTTTTTTTAACTATCTGAAGAGTTTTATTGCATTTAATTCAAAAGATATTCATTTTATAGCCACATCTGCAAAGAGCAGGAGTTTTTGTAGAGACATTTACAACTTTTTCTTTCTGATACAAATGCTCAAATTTGCAACCTTAATGTTACATATATTCAGACTTAAGCAGTCAGAACACATAAGCAAAACACATTAATTTTCCTATTCTACCACAGTGTGTATCTAAAAAGCAGCTTTCTTGTACCTTTTCTCTTGTTGCCTTTCAATTGACCGATGGTGTTTTTCTGTACTCTGGCATCAGACAAGTTGATTTGGAAAGTTAATTTAGGATGTTTTCAAAGTTAAAAAAAAAATGGACTAACTTCTTAACATATAATAGTTTATTTATCCAGTAAACCATGCTAAAGAAAAAATAATTTGGGGTACTTGTAGAGATTTCACTTTTATTCTGTCTTAATTTAGAAAAATAACATTTGCAATTACAGCATTTTTACAGGCTTAGTAGGGATGTAAGTCATTGAGAAAGTGGAAGAACAGAGGCAGAGGGCACCTGATATGGAAACACGGGAATCCTGGGAACAAAAGGAGCCTATCCAGATAGGGAGGAAGAAATTAGAATGCTTGGAGAGCTGACCACCACTCAGACACCTAATCCTACCCCAGCAGAGTTATGTAAATGTTGCAGGTCACATACTGCTCTTAGCATTCATGGAAGTAGCAAAATCAGCAGTGTCATCCTTCAAGACCAGACACAGGCTGATTATAAGACTCAACAAAAATAGAATCACATCAGAATTCAAGACATCGGAGCCTCCTCCTGAGCTAGCCCACTGCAGATGTCTGAGTTGTGTTTTATGGGTTGATATGACATAAAAATCAGAAAAGTTCACCAAGAAACAACTATTATTTATGGACACACAAACAGGTAGATTTTAGAGTGTTTAGTTGTTTAACTAAGAAACATTCAATATAGGGGAGAAAAGAATGTATCACAGATCAAATTCAATCACCAGACATTAAGAAATGAAGTTCAGAGGTAAAGGTAAAATGTCTTCCAAAGTCTTATGTAAATCATATGAAAATTTTCTTTATAATAATTTTTGTATTAATTTTTAGAAAAGTGGGGTTTATCGATGAACAAATCAGAAATAATAATGATTCATTTTACCAGTTTGTAACTTTTGGTTATTTTGATAAGTAGTAAAGAGTTTGCTGTACTTCACAAATATACTAAAATATTTCTTTTAAGGGAGACTACCATAAATTCGATGGCAGGGAACAAGTCTGACTTAGATAAGACATACTAGTCTCAGGCACTACTAAAAGCATCTATCTCTGTCTACACATATTGAAAATAAAAATGAAGAAGTCTGCTACCTGAAAATTGGCAGATTAAATACCAAATGATGAATCGAAGGCCACACTTAATAAACATTGACTTCAAAAGTAGTAAAATCTTAAAAACTGTATTACTGGTTTTAACTAAAAGTGTTTTAAAGTAACACTCTGCTTCACATTTAAAGTCACTGTACTTCACATTAGCAGAAGTGAAGGGCTTTGACTTTCAATTCTTGTCTCAGGTGTCTGTACACGTAAAAGGAGCAGAATGACAGACAAAAAGGCCTCAGTAAAAGAGCTCTATGAGAGATAACAGAACAATTAAAAGCCTTCCTACTAATTAAAATGGAGCCTTCAAAGATCTCTTCTTTGCTTGCCATAAAAATTATATAATTCTGGGGCTGGATAGATGGCTCAGCGATTAAGAACACTGGTTGTTCTTGTAGAAGACAAGGGTTCGAATCCCAGCACCCACACGGCAGCTAACAACTGTCTGTCTCTCCAGTCCCAGAGGATCCAACAGTCTCTTCTGTCCTCCACAGGCATTGCACAACACGGGTGCACTTACTTATATGTGGGCAATGCATGCATACACATAAAATAAAAGTAATAAATAAAAATTTAAAAAATTCTATAATTCTGTTGCACAATTCCATTTTCTTTCATAGTTTATAATCCAAACTTTTCATGAATTCATATGTCTTCTCTTTTTAATTAGCATTATTCCAACTTTATTTTCTCACTTTTGGAGCCATCATAGATTTCTTTGGCCCTAGGCTGGAGGAACTGACTAATATTTTCTAAATTATACATCTGAAATTCTTGGCATGCACAAGCTAACAAAAATAAGACTGACTTACCCACAAACTTCATATAAACTAGTCCAAGTAATTCTGCTAGAGCTATGACACCCAAATCTGAAATCAAAAGGGGGCCGTGCACTGGTTCACATGCTGTAGAAACAAATGAAATTCTGTATTAGAAATGCATATGAAATAACTACAATTTTATTTAAAGGAATCAACAATAATAATATCAAGGTGATTATTTTCTTTGTTGCTTCTTGGTGGTGCTGGGAAGCCAACTCAGTACTACTTACGTACTGGACAACAGCTCTATCACTGAGCTATATCCCAACATATATCCAGTCTTAAGGAGATTATTTCTTATTTTAACAATCACTAAGTAAACACTATCAACATGTCTATTGTGTAAAAGCATCTTTATTACTAACTCAGTGAAATAGCTCTAAATTATTACAAGAAAAAAGCCCTCCTTTACACAGCATACTCATCAAGAAGAATGGAAAATAGTGTCTGAAGTCTGAGGCGCCAATCAATTCGAACCTGACTCTTTTATAAGTTCTCTCTCAAATGTGGGCATAATAGTTTGGCTGTGAGGACAGTCATGCCACAAGTGATATGTAGCCAGCATTCTTGTAGCAGTGGGAAAAGTACTATTCCCACTGGGGAGGAGAGGAGAGTGGAAAAAGAAAGGCTCACAATGCTGAAAAGTGTGTGGAGAAACAAAATCTCTGTCCCTGATGGTGTTACCACACAGAGTTTGGCAGTTTCCTACAAAACAAACTGTACCTTAACACATAATACAAAAATTGCACTCTTGGTATTTACCCAAATAGAGTTGAAAATTTATATCCACATAAAACATGTTCATAGATGTTTACAGTAGCTTTATTCATCTGTCACAAAAGCAGAAAGCCACCAGGATGGCCCTCAATGGGTGAATGCTAAATGCTAAACACATTATGGCATAGTCACACAACAATATTTTTCAGCACTAATGAGCTACCAAGCTATAAAAAGACATGGAAGAAACTTAGATTCCTATTTCTAAGTGAAAGAAGCCCACATGAAAAGGCTATATGCAGCAGGAATCTAGCTAAGACATTCTGGAAAATGTGAAACCATGTGGAGACTAAAAAGGTCAGGGATGTTGAGGGTTAGGAGGAGGGACAGGTGACTAAACAGGACGTAGGACATTATTCTATTTGATACCACAGTGTGGTACATGTCACTGTACATCTGTCATAGCCACAGGATGTACTATAACACCAGTAATGACCCATGATGTAAGCTATTAACTGGGTGATAATGATGTTTCCATGTTGGTTCATCAACTGCACCAGTCTGGTGTGGGGTATTGGGGGAAGCTGTGGGTGTGGGGGCATAGGAAATGGGTGTGGTTATGGTAACTGTCTTTTCCACTCAGTTTTTCTGTGAACCTAAAACTGAGCTAAAAGAAAGCTTTAAAAAGAAAAACAAAGAAAAGAAAAAGAAGAGAAAATAAGAGCTCTGTGCAAAAGAAATTAAAATTGGGACTATAGAAGGGTGTGACTCTTACCCATGATACAGAGACACAGTCCAACCACAGCAAGAACATAGCCCAGCACCTGAGTGATCAGTATGGCAATGGTGAAGGAGGTCATCCCAAAAGCTGAGCAAAGGAAAAAGACATAATAGAAATGTGTTGAGCATTGACATTGGATGCAATAAAGAGGAAGATCCTATGACCAAAGACAGACTGTAGTTCCTTATCAGATGATGCCGTTTTTCAGTTAATCCTTCCATAAGCATGCCAGCTCAAGATTCACACATTCTGCAGGCTTTTGTTGACATAGTCCTCTGAGAGGGACTAGCAGTTTTTACCAAAATCTTGGAGCAATGTGATTTTGACCACACATACAGCATGAATGGATGTCATGCATGGCTTTTCTACATGCACAAAACTGATATGCTGGAAAGAACGACTACAAAAATATCATAACCTCTGTACTGTGTATTGACAAGATCTGTGCTTTTCTAATGAGCTGGTATTTTAATATATAGCAAGTTAAAGGATCTAAGACTTGCTGTTAAATGAGACTCTTTAACAGTAAAAATATGATAGTGTCTGACTTTTAAAGAGCAGAGAAAATAATACTGAGTATAGTTAGGATACCACACTGTTTTTTAAAACTAGTGTTAGCAATAACTAAAGAAAGTACATTTCCAGGGGCTGGAGAGATGGCTCAGTGGTTAAGAACGCTGGCTGTTCTTGCAGAAGACCTGGGTCTGAATCCCAGCACCCACATGGCAGCTAATAACTGTCTGTAACTCCAGTCCCAGGGGATCCGAGAGCCTCTTCTGACCTCCGTGGGCATTGCATGACATGGGTGCACTTACCTACATGCAGGCAATATACACATACACATAAAATGAAAATAATAAATAAAATAAAAAAAAGAGAAAGTACATTTCCAAAACCTGTGATTTATACTCCCATCTTGTAGAACTAGTTTTTTCAATGCAGAGGGTAGGTAAAAGAAAAAGAATGTGTTTACTATTTACGTATAACTACAAAAGACTGAAAATAGAATATTTAAATAATTAAAATTATACAACATACTTTAAAATTATGCCAATTCCATCAAATACATAGGAAATTACTTTTCACAAAATAATCGTTGAAAAGATCTAACATAATCTCAAAATCAATCTATATGACAAATCTTACTAAGGGTATAAAAAGTAATCTAATAAATCAACTTTTACTGAGCTGTTAACCAAATTGGACTATTTTCACCAAAAGTACTTTTTTTTTTTTTTTTTTTTTTTTGGTCTTTTCGAAACAGGGTCTCCCTGTAGGCCCAGCTGTCCTGGAACTCACTATGTAGACCAGGCTGGCCTTGAGATCTGCCTGCCTCTGCCTCTGCCTCCCAAGTGCTGGGACTAAAGGCATGCACCACCACGCCCTGCCAAAAGCACTTTTTTAAAAAAAGGAAAATGCTAATCTCAGACTGTAAGAACAAATACTTACCTGTCATAAAAACATTGTACTGAAGTAATATTAATATTCCTGTAGAAATTACAATGAGACCAAGTCCAGAAGCATTCTTCACTGGGTATTCTCCTGTTAAAAAATAAGTATGTTTACATTGTTTTCATACAGACTTTTTGTGAAGTTACTCAGTTTGTTGAATGTTTTAATCTCAATGCTACTCTTATAAAGTGTGAAAGGTTTAAATGTTTCCCTCATTTCACACGAAATAAGTGATTCTTTTTTAAACTTTAAGACCAAGCTAAAGGATTTACATCTCAACATGTTGAATTGGCCTTAACTTTATAGAATTCTAAGGGAAACTCCCTCTTCATCTTTTACCATCCCCTCATTCACAGTATCAGTCACTCAAAGCCAGTCAATTGCTCTTTCAAGTTGTCTTCTGATTTCTTCTACCCCCAGGCCCCCAGCAACTCTGGATGCACAGAGAGCTGCCAAATCCATGTTCCTAAAGCTTCTACTTGCACTGTCTCCCTAAGAAACAATAGTGGCATTCCACAAGCTGTTGCTGTGATCCTGGCCTGTTGGCTTTTCTTCCCTTGTGTTTCTGCCCTTGTTTCCACCCACACTTCCATCCTTCAGCTGCCACTGCTACTTCAGGCAGACATGGTTCCTGGGTCAGTGCCCACTTCTGCATCCTGGGCAATGAAGCTTGCCTCCATAGTGGTTTGGATGGTGGCTCTGGTTATAGTCCCAATTCTCCATCCTCAGAATCTATGAATACCACTTTATGTAGCAGAAGAGTGAAATACATTAAATGGGAAAGATATGCTGTTAAGGATCTATAAGGAAGACTATCCTGAGCTAAATGAGTGTTCCTAATGCCAATGATAAGTGTGCTTGTGAGAGAGGGGAAGGGAGGGAGATCTCACACAGACACAGAAAGGAGAGCACAGAGGAGACGAGGAGACAGAGATGCAAGCTAGGAAATGTCAAGCATTATCTGCAAACACTGGAAGCCAGACGAGGCAGGCAATGGATTTTCCTCTTGAGCTTTGAGATGGAGTCTCAAGAGAGACTCCAGATCCTTTAATAGAGTATCTGTTGTTTGAGGCCACACCTGTCACAACAGTCCTAGAAACCAATATAGTCCCCCCACCTTGGGATTCCTCCTCACATTAGCCCTGTACCTGCCACAGTACCTGTGCATCTCACCTGGGATGAACAGAATGGCTCCAACGATGACGATCACAGTGAGCACTAGCCCAGCAATGAGTAACAGAATGATTCTCTTATTCGTACGAGCAGATTTATATTTAAGTGCTTCAAAGGAAAACAAAGAATTACATAACTCAGTCACAAGTGATGCCATTTCTGTAATGCACAATGTGCAGAGAGAACTGACAACTCACTGAAGGGAGCAACCTTTGAACTCCTTCCTCTCACCAACCTCTATCACTATAAGCAGAGGGATTCACGGTCATGGGCTGATGGACACAGGGTCACAACAGTGTAAATCTGACTGCTGCGTGTGGAGGCGGCACTTTATTCCCTTGCATTTTACATTATGGAGGTATATATCAGGCTTTCTAAACTGAAACATCATTAAGCTTTTCGATATATATTTTTTTAAACTGAAGAGTGGCCCTGTGTATTATTGAACATGGCAGAATCCACACACTAAAAACCAGTAAGTGATCCCCTCCCCATCTATAAATCAAAATATTTTTAGACATTTTCCATGTTCCCTGAGGAGCAAAATTACCCCCAGATTGATAATACAACAGATACACCCAACACGGATAAAAAAAATAACTGGTTAAAGAGCAATACTGAGAAAAAGTTATTTCCTTTTATAAAAATTAGTAAAATACCTAGAAGTTTGGATAGTTTGTTTTCTTGAAAAGGCAGAGACAAAATATTGAACAAAGTACACCCTCACACAATCTTTATGGAGAAAAGCCTACAACTTTCAACTAAGATATTTAAATAAAAATACACTGCCAGGATCCAAGAGGATTCACCGTCAGTATTCCCATACAGCCTCACGCTCAAGACTGCTACTTTCCCTAGATGGTCATATGAGGTGGAGCTAACAATGTTTGCTTTGACTTGCTATTAACCTTTTTGTTTGGATTAACACTGAAATTAATTTTTCATCAAAAAACTGTTAAAGGGTACCAAAGACCAGACTGAGGAGCAGAGAGCAACAGGATGTGTGACAAAAACTCTGCTGGTACCACCTACACACAACATTTTCCCTCTTGGTAGTCAAGAGGCAACTGGCCTAAGAGGGAAATCTTTTAAATGTTATATTTGCTTTTAATTTTCTTCTACTACAATAATGAACCGATTAAATAAAGTAAAATTAGGGGTTGGAGAGATGGATCAGCAGTTAAGAACACTGACTGTTCTTGCAGAAGACCCAGGTTCAGATACCAGCACCCACATGGCAGCTAGCAACTGTTCATAACTCCAGTTCCAGGGGATCCAACGGCCTCTTCTGTCCTCCGCAGGCATTGCACGACACAAGTGCACTTACCTACATACAGGCAATACACTCATACACAAAAAATAAAAATAATGAATATAATATTTAAAAAAATAAAGCAAACTCCTTAATGACTAGGATAAAAAAAAAAATCTAGGTTCAGGTACACTGCAGGTACCTGAAGGTTTGTATTACTACCCTTCTACCTTCTTTTCTGCTGCTGTGATAAAACATTCTGACCAAAAGCAACTTAGGGGACGAAAGGGTTTATTCTGCCTACAAGTTATAGTCCATCACTGAGGGATGTCCCAGTTAGAGCTCAAACAGGACCTTGAAGCAGTACCACAGGACCACAGGGGTGTGCTGCTTGCTGCTGGCCAGCTCACTTCACAGACTTAGCTTTCTTTCTTTCTTTCTTTTTTTTTTTTTTGAGACAGGGTCTCCCTGTAGCCCCAGCTGGCCTGGAACTCACTATGTAGACCAGGCTGGCCTTGAACTTATAGAGATCTGCCTGCCTCTGCCTCCCGAGTGCTGGGATTCCACACCTGGCTTTAGCTATCTTTCTTATAAAGCTCAGGACCACATGCCCAGAAAATGGTGCCACCCATAGTAGGTGGGACCCTCATGTATCAGTTAACAACCAAGACATCTCCTATAGACATTTCCACAGGCTAATCTCATCTGGGAAATCCCTCAGTTGAAGCTCCTTTCTCAGGTTACTCCAGGCTGTGTCAAGTTGACAGTCAAAGCTAACTAGGCTGTCTACCTACCCATTCTTTAGAATATAACCTCAGTTCTAGTCACTTCAGGGGAAGACAGAGGCCTAAGCAATGATCAACCACAAAGTTGAGTAACTGACATCCACAGGAATCAAAGATACATTCAAAGGAATCAGAGCATCCTGCTAAATTCCTTGAGCTTGGGTTTGATCACTTACCTCTAGCATGACTAGTACTCAGTTCCACCCCTGCCCCCTCAAAAGGCTTCCTTGCTTTTATGGCTCAAACACTAGGGAGAATGAAACTGAGAGTTTAGGCCACAAATGTGCAGCTGATTTCTCTAGGCAGCATCACAATTTCCATATAATCCCACTTATGTTGTTCCCTAAACAGAACTTGGGAATTCTGCCCAAGTTATCACACAGATGTTGGGCATGGTGGCGCACACCTTTGATCCCAGACATTGGGAGGTAGAGGCAGGTGTATCTCTGTGAGATGGAGGCCAGCCTGGTCTACATAGTGAGTTCCGGGTGGGATGGGACTAGGGAGACTTTATCAAAAAACAAAACAAAACAAAACAAAAAACAAAACTAACCAAACCAAAAAAAAAAACCACCCAGAAAACTTAACACACAGGAGCTGTTTCAAATGTACGTCATAGTCAATCACTCTTTACAGAATTTAACACACACACACACACACACACACACACACACATACAAAAAATTCATTAAACACAATGGAGTTCTACTCAGCAGTAAAGAAAGATGAAATAATGAAATTTGCAGGTAAATGGATGGCTCTAGAAACTGTTACACTAAGTGAAGTAACAAAGACTCAGAAAAACAAACGATATATGTTCTCCCCCATATGTGGCTCTTAGCACCAAATCCTTTTCAATTCCAGGTCCTTTTAATAAGATGATGCTATACAGAAGTCCCTTCTGCATGAAATAACTACCGTTCAGCTGAGCCTGATCACTAAACATAGTCACAACTGGGCTTGTTGACGGTTGTGCTCATTCATTAAAGGAGGGCTAAGCAGGGTTATTGGACCCTCACTGGGTTATCCAGCTACTCTTCCCAGCCAACTGTATGTAATTTGGCCCTATTTACACATGGCATCTTGGATTTGGGGAGGGCTAAAGTATACAATCTGGGGAAGGTTAGGAAGAGAAGGCATGACCCATACTGGGTAAAGGCTTTCTAGTGTACATGCCCTCAGGTCATACATACACCTCAGCAACCCCTCAGTTATCTTGGTAAGTAAGCTCAATAAATTCATTGGTTCCCCAGTAAAACTTTAATCAAACATTGGCTTGACACTAGAACCTTAAAAGGGAATAAGCATTGCTTAGCATCCCCAGGAAAAGATGTCTCACAACAGGTGGAAAATTTATTTGTTAATGCTATTATGTCTCATAATTATTTTTTAAAAAAAAAGAAAATGAGAATGTAAAAGATCTTAAGAGGATATGGGAATGGAGGTATTTTCCAAAACAGAAAAAACGGGAACGCCTAAGCAAGTGATAAAGGTCTGTTTAGGTTTGTTATGATATATAAAGGATGAGACAAAAATAATATACACATAATCTTAAAATGTCTATGGTCATAGTTTAGTCAACTAGTTTAAGGAACAAAATACATGTCAAGGTTTATCTAATAATATATGGTTTTTTACCCAAGCCTTATCTACATAGCACATGATAATTAAAAGTACCAGGCTGGTGGAACTAACCTTATTGGATGTTTCATAGCCGTAGTTTGAGGCCTACACTAATGTGGTCAGAGGGACTTAAAGGACAGTTTTTGGCCCTTGTCCTCCAAGGATGACTAAGTTCGAGGGGACTATGGAACATCTCTCAAAATGTCCTGTAACTGTGTTGAGTCACCTGTCCCCTTGCTCAGGGAAGACATGGAGACCCCACAAGATGGACTTTATCCAGTGTCCTGTCGACAAAGAGGAGGGTCAACTCAGAGAAAACATCTCATTCATGCTTCCAAGTGAAGCTAGACATGGTCGAGCAGGACCTTTGACTTGTCTTCATATAGACGGAACTGGTAAAAGAAAGGAGCCATGTGACCAAGCCCATGTGACCCCTGAGGAACAGATCCTCAAATGACCTTAAGTGTAAAAATAGATTGATTTCTTTGGGCCAGCCGTATGGTCTTGAACACCCAAAATGAATGTATAACCAAAGAGTAAAGTCATCAGTATATTTCTTTAAGAGTTCAAGGGATTACACTTCCCAGACATTAGGCTTAAGTATATACAAAAAGTTATTTAAGTAATTATTTCTCATTGGTGATTTTGTTCCTAATCAGAAAGTGCTGCTAGATGTAAGATTTCAAATCTAGGTCTCCAATACAACCAGCTATTGTTCTAAAATGATGGATAAATTTGTTTTGTCCCCCTATCTAGAAGCCTTTGAGAGGGAACTGACACTGATTCTAACCACTCCAACAGCTATCAAAATACCTGAAAGCAAATCCTGAATCTATCACTTTAGATTCCTGCCTTGGAAGACAAAAGAAAAATGAGGAAGAACCCATTAGAGGGATGCTTTTGGAAGCCCTCATCAAGAAATTCCAATGGACTCTGATATGAACATTTGAAAACTGCCCTGTTCTGCCTTTTGTTCTAGTTCCCTGTCTAGAACTTGTAAATGCTAATTACTCTTGCCTTTACTTCTTTACATTGCCTATTCAGGTTTCAAGGTCTTTCTTTTCCCACTAGAGATAAGAGTCATGCAATTTGGGAGTCTTTTAGATAGACCCACTGAAGGGGTACTCTAACTGCCTCACCCTGTATCCCTGTTCAGCATGGATGAAGCCAGAGCGGTCTGCATCCCTATTCCCTACTGGCAATTTGGGTAACCTCTTCAGAGGATGGTGTGATAAGAATAGGAGGTAAGAATTCGTTAGGCAGTCAGGATAATAAAGACCCCAAAGAAAAGTAGCCAGTTTTTTGGCTAAAACTCACAATGTCCTTGGGCCTCTTAGCAACATGCTCTGTTCCAAAGGCCAAAAATGTTGAAAATATTTGGGAGCTTTTATCTAATCCTTAAAAGATTTTAGGGTTACTGCCTCTGGAGGTGGGGGTGGTGATGTTAG